CTTAGTCCACAGCCGGCCAGATGGCCAAGAATCTGAAGTCTGGGGGTGGGTTTTAAGTTTTACATTCTGTGCTTCTATTGTCTTTTTTAGGTGAGTATTTTAATACACATATGCATAATAATGGTAATAATAATTAATAATGGATTGACCAAAACATCTTCTGGCCACTTTTTTTTTTTTGGTGGTGGGGCCTGAACTCTGGGCCTGGGCACTGTCCCTCAGCTCTTCAGCTCAAGGCGAGCACTCTGCCACTAGCTACAGTACCACTTCCAGCTTTTTGTGCTTATGTGGTGCTCAGGAATTGAACCCAGGGCCTCATGCATGCAAGGCAAAGCACTCTACCACTGAGCCACCTTCCCAGCCCCCTCCTGGCCACTATGTAGGAACAGAAGCCTAGGGTTTCTGGCTGGGCCGGATCTTAACCATTCCGTTGCTGGATGGGGGCAGGGGAAGATGGGTTCTAGGGAGGATCCTAGCAGAGGGAAGCTGAGGCAGGGCTGGGCACTTGAGACGGGGGGGGGAGGGGGGAGAGGAGGGAAGGGTGTTGTTGGGGCAAGAGGTATTCCAATATTTTGCCAGGCACAGGTGGCTCATGCCTATCATCCTAGCTACCAGGAGTCTGAAATCTGAGGGTCATGGTTCAAAGCTAGTGCAGGCAGGACTCTTATCTCCAATTAACCAGCATATATAGATATATACGTGTATATATGTATATATATATATATACACCTATATATACGTATATATATATATATATACGTATATATAGGTGTATATATATATATATATATATCTGGATGTGGAACGGTGGTTCAAGTGGTGAGCAAAAATGCTCACAGACAGTGCCCAGACTCTGAGTTCAAGCCCCAGACTCTGAGTTCAAGAACCCAGAACACATTTCACTTAGAAAGACCATCTCAGCCTTCTGCAGTTCTCTATATGCTCTCAGACACCTGACTTTGCTCCATGGCTTCCCTTAAATCTTTGTTTCTCCATTTAGGGATGTGGCCAGACTTTAACAACCAGGAGTGTGCTACTCAAAATACAGCAGCCCTGTTGGGGAGGGGGCGTAGTGGCTGAGCACTTGCTTGCTGGACACAAAGCCCACGAGTTCACTAAAGGTGCTTAGACTAATTCACATGGCAAATGTGATCACCTCGACCTAATAATAAAGCCAGGCTTGCCAAATCTTGCCGTAAGGTCTGGATTCAGAACAGACTGATTCACTAATAAGCTCCTAATGAACGAACCTTCCTTTACAGTATGTGTAAACTTCAACAGCAGTACCACAGCCAATCAATCAATCCATCAGTCAAATAGCCTTAGGAATTCTTGCTCTTGGAGGACCTCTTTAATTTGTCCTTATTATGCAAAGCACCTTATCAAGAGACGCACTTATTTCACTTGTGTTTCCCCTGGTTTCCCTAGCTACCTGTTGGTCCTGCCCCGGTGTCGCTCCCATTTCCTTCCCCCTCCTTTCACTAGCCCATCCTGTCCATTCCGCAATCCCTCCTCCTCTCACAGTGGCCTCACTCTAAGCCATGCCAAACACTTTTGCCCTAGGCTTTTCTCTATTGACACCTTTTCTCTCTGCGGGAGCTTGGCCGCTCCACAGTTTTATGTGAACCTTCCTAAAACTTCCCTTTCCATGCTGGCCTCTTTGCTAAGAGAACTATCATCATCTCCATTTGGTAAACAGGGAACCCAGGCTTGTGTGGGAATCAGACGATGTGAACAGAACGCTGAGTGGATAATTGATGGATTCCTGGTGGCCCTGGGCAATGCCTGCATTTGATTGAAAAAGCCTCCTCGGAGCTCTCTGCTCAGGGGAGTCAGATCCACACAGAAGAGCCCTCGTGGTGTTCACCTGAAGGGAGACAGCCACAACCCTGACGGGTGATATGAACAGGAGCAGCTGAAGAGCAAAGTCAGAGCAGAAAAGGCATCAGGGACCAGGTTTGCCATGAAAAAGAAAAGAAAATGGGAATCCCCCCTTGATCATTGATTTAGATAAATCCAGAAGATAGCCAATCAGGCAAAGGATTAATTAGTATTCCCCCCCTTCCCAGACACACCCTACTTAAGATTAGAACACAATTTAAGAAGAGAACAACATGCGCATATCCTGTTTACCTAGGACACTCAATCCAACTCTGTAGACTCCCTGAGCAGCTGGGAGCCAACTTGTCCACAGGGGAGTGAACCATGGGTCTCTCCCAGTTGAGACCACAGGGCTATGCCAAGGCCCAGGGTGCCAGACACTTCCCAGGGCTCCTCCTCTAAACAACAGGGGGAGCTAGAGCTGCCCACACCCCTGCCCCCAATGTTGTAGAACCATAAACACCATAAACAGGTGACATTGCTTTCTACTTAATCACACCATAGCTTATAGCCAGGACTCAATGGTTCTCAACTCCTCCACAAAATGGGATCACTTAAGGGACATGGACCGACACTCCCTCTCTCTCTCTCTCTCTCTCTCTCTCTCTCTCTTCTCTCTCTCCTCTCTCTCTCTCTTCCCCTTCCTCCCCCCTCTCTCCCCACCTCAGTCCTCATACCCAGTCCAATTCCCAGCGATTCTGACTCAGTTGTACTGACAAAGCAGCAACTAGATGTTGCTCTCTTTTAGAAAGTTCCGGTTGCTATGAACAGATAGCAGATGTTCACATCTGCAAGCAGTCTGGAGGAGGCAGCAGGTTGGGGTACCTCCATGACCCTCACCCCCCAGCAAAACACCTGACACCTTGCCTCAGAATGGACAGAGTCCAGCTGGTCGCATGAGTTGTGTAGTACCGTGACCATCACCCTGACGGTACTGACTGCAAGCAGAACTGAAAAGCTAGCCATCTGTTTCTTCCTATCCCCATGCCCACAAAGCTTGATTTTGTGAAGCTAGGCAAATAAATCAAGCTCTGTCCCTTTCGTAATCATATTCCCTGAAACAGGAACAAGATGTCTGCTTTATTTGTGATGTGGAGAAACAGGGAGCATGAAAGTCTCTGAAGAACAAAATTGATGCCGAGCACCAGTGGCTCACACCTGGAATCCTAGCGACTCCAGAGCCTGAGATCAGAGGATTGCGGTTCAAAGTCAGGCCCAGGCAGGAAAGTCCCTGTAGATTCTTACCAGAAAACTGGTAGAAGTAGAGTCTCAAAGTGGTAGAGCACTAGCCTTGAGCAAAAGAGCTCAAGGACAGCGCCCAGGCCCCAAGTTCAAGCTCCACAATCAATAACAACAACAAGAAAGAAAAAAAAAAGAACAAAATTGTTGCATGTAAATAATGGCAAGAGATTGAATCTATGTTTATAGGAGATGGACCAGGCTTAGCACCCAGTGCGGGTGGCGTTCCATGGTGATGCTGCTGACTGCTCTGAGAAGCCTCACAGTACCAGGACCGGTGTAGCAGGCGATACAGTCATGTTGTTGTCTCACTCCATAAATACAGCATCTATAAATACACCAGGCCTTGATGGCGCTCTGTTACGAACCTGACACTACGCAATGGGGTACAATGACACCCACAGCTCTGGAGAAAAGTCAAGAGCTGCTAAACTGAATGAGACGATCGTTATTGGATTTCAAAAACCATCAGAACCCAGTGACCTGTCATTTGGAGTGGTAATACAATGTTGGCAAGGACAAGAAAAGCCAAGATAGTGACTGTAAAGTTCTCTGTTGTTACTCTTGCTTATTGTCCCTTCTTTGCCTTTCTGCATGACCACAATGAGCTGGTTCCTACTCAACAATTTAGGGGCATGGAAGAGGTAGACAGCCACCTTTTTATAGGCAACTGAAAGAGATGGAAAAATGAACCTCTGTCGAATGTGTTGATCCTCCATTGAACAAAGGGGAATCTCTCCCAGCTGTAGGCCATCTTCCCTGGGCCAGCCACTTTGCCTATCCATTGATCATTCCACAGAATCAAGTCCTTAGATTTTTACTTCTCCCTCCCTTTTATATTTCCAAAACAAAGATACTTTTGTTGCTCTTCAAACCACTTATTAGCAGGTCTAGAATCTCGATGGGGGGGAGTCGTTGATAATATCGATTGCCAAGGCCCAAACCAACATGAAAATATTAATCACAGAAGTAAGCCGAATCCACAACATGGTCTTCTAGATATTGAAAGAATTGTTTGTGTTGTCCTGGCACCGAGAGAAAGGCCCTAGAAGGAGCCAGGGTGGAAATCTGACCACAGCAGTGCACTGAGCTGTACAGGGCTGGTCCAGCGAGCTGGGAAGAGCAGAAAATGAACTTTTAACTAGTAACACAGCAAAGTGTTACCGGGATGGCCTTTGAGGAGAGGGACTACTGTGTGCATTGGGGCGAAAGCCCCTGAAAACCTGTTGTGAGATGCCCTCACAAGAAGACTTAGATATTTCCTATGCAATTCCAAGACTTAAAGACCAGCTCTATGACTGCTGCAGAACAGGTAGACAGGGCACGATGACTCTTCCACAAAGTATAAGAAAACACGCGTAAGCAAAGCCACACATCCTGGCGCTTCCCCTCTTTTCTGGAACATTCCTTGCAAGTCTGTCTGGCTCTTGAGCTCCGGTTCGTGTTTCCTGACCAGCACTCAGATTCCTTGGTCCCCAGCTATGGGTGGGAGGTTGTGGGGACACACGTGTGGCGGGGGCAGCGCATGCCTCCCTCACGCACCACGGGTACCCTGGATCGGAGCATGCTCCTGCCTCGGGATGGGAGAATTCACCTAAGAGTAAAGCCAAGCTTTGCTAGGAGGAAAACAAAATCCTCACAGTGGCCCAGTATGTATTCTTCCTAGATGCAGTCTTAGCAACCACCGCAGTGCTATGCACAGTGCCCTTGGGATCTACTTTGTCTTCCTGTCGTTTATGTCAGAGGAGCCATGCGAAAGCATACCAGACGGAGAGGACAAACCAAACCTGGGGGTGCCTGCCAGGCCGTGCAGAAGTAGCCCAGGTCCCCCAGGGGCTTGCGCACAAGAAGGACGGGCCATAGTAGGAAGAACACATTACCTGTCCGGTACTGTTGTCCCCAGAAGGGCTCCTGCTCTCTGATCAGATGACTAGAAGCTTCCAGCTTCTACTAGGAGGCCATTGCCTCCGGCTTCCTGGAAGACCTCACACCCAGGGCAGGGAATGCTGAACAGGATTCATTTCGACCTTTCAGCAAGTCTAGAAGCTTCTTTGAACAAGCTCATGTCTCCCCAGCGGTGTTCGGAGCCTCGTAGAACCAGCCCTGAGCCTCTGTGCTGTTTGAAGAAAAAAAAAAGAAGCAATTTCCTGCTCCTCTTCCCCGGATGGCCGTGCCTTCCCCGGATGGCCGTACCTTCCCCTCCCGCCCATGGGAAGTCCTTCAGATTCTCTTATCTGGAAACCTCCTTAGCCAGTGGACAGACTTGTTCAGCCAGCACCTTCTCGCTCTTGCTTTCCTTTCTCCCGTGGAGGGGAAAAACCAGAAAAATCAAACCACCACTGACCAAAAATGGGTTCAAACTCATGAGTGGGGTTAGGATGCCTGCCTTGTACCTTCAAAAGAGGAACAGGAGCGGATAGTATAGACATCAAATGAAAAGTATCCACGGCCTTTTGTCTCTAAAGGGGCCAAGAAGTCAGACCATGAAAACATTCCCAAGGGTGTGACCAGGGGTAGAGTGGGGGGAGGTGCACCTCACAATGCCACAGGGGGGCACAGCTGGCTCTGCGCGCTTCCCAGGCAAACACTGAGTGTTTGTACCTCAAACCACATAATCAGTGACACTTCAACAGCGTCTTGGAAACTGATGTTTAGAGACACAGACGTGTACGGGGGAGTCCTATGGTCAAACCACCGTGCCGTAGCTGGGGTTAAAGATGAGTGGTTGTCGGAGTACTGGACCGGAGAGTGACCTGACTCAGTGGGAAACTGCGGCCCAAAGGGAGCTAGTGACTTTCACAAGGTCAAATCTAGGCAGGGGTGGACTGTCATTTGATTGTTTTTATATGGTGGCGGGGAGGGGAGGCGGGGGGCGTGCAGTTTTGACTTGGAGGTCAGGCAGGTGGAGCTCAGGAAGAGGAAATGAGGGCCCCAGATGAGTCAGTGATGTGGTCCCCAAACTGTTTTTGGAGAGAGGCTCACAGGGTCAGAGAAAGGATGCTGAGGGCAGACCGTGAGGATCTGAGCCTTCGTCCCCTGGCTACCCACACGGCCCTGCTGAGCCTCACTTTCTCTGTGTGTCAAAAGCCGGCTCACGGAAGTGCTGAATGTACGGCTTCATTCCAGCGGAAGAGCTCAGCAGCACACTGGTGGCCCACACCTGAAATCGTGAGCTCTGAGGATCAAGGTTTAAAGTCAGCGCAGGAAGGAAAGTCTGTGAGACTCTTGTTTCAAGGAGCCAGCCAAAAGCTGGACTAGCGGCTGTGCTCAAGCAGTAGAGCACCAGCCTTGAGTGGAAAAAATAATACTAAGGCACAGCACTGAGGCTGTAAGGTCAAGCACCAGTGCTAGCACAAAAAAACTAAACAAACAAATAAAGGAGGAAGCGCTCCCATTGGCTGCCTTCCCCCTGACCCCACCCCTGTCTAGAGAACTGGACTCATGGCCTCTAAGCTCATCCTCTCCATGCCGTCTCCCTGTCTTCTTGCCTGAATTCCCTTCCGGAACTCCCATGACCCAGCATGCAGTGAGAACAATACTTAGAGGGCAGACAAGAGTTAAGTGTCATTGTCCCTGAGAGGTTCATTCTAGGAGTCCAGAAGGTACCAAAGCCGGTGGATTCTCGCGTTCCTTATAAGAAATGGTACAATATTTCCATATGACCTATACATCCCCCTTTCTATACTTTAGATCATCTGGCTCACATATAATACCTAATACACTACACATAAATACTACTATAAATAATAACTATACTATAGAGTAATATACTATATATAATGATATACTACATGCACAATTTTATAACATATAATATAGTAATATAATACATAACAACTATGCTATAAATAACTATACTAATAACACCAATGACAACTATACTGCATTGTTTAAAGCTAAGGGAAAAAGTCTGCGCATGTTCAGTACAGAGGCAAAATTTTTCCCCCAGATGTTTTTTAATCCTGAGGATAGGTGTGAGTGAAAACATGAACCTTCAAAACATGTTGTAAGTGCTGGTTCTCAGGACTGCTTTCTACAGGCTGGATTGGACGCATCTTGCCTGAAGAAAGCGCCAACCGTTCGAACGAGCTCCTGAGCAGGTGCATGGCGCTCAGTGCTCTGCCTGCACCGGTGGCGGGGCACGATCGGCTTTCTGGTGTGGAAAAGGGCTCTGCCAGCCTGGCTGTGCCTTTCAACTTCCCAGAAGAGCTGTTCCTCCCTCCACAGTCCCCGGCTCATGAAGAGAACATTCCGTGCTCACCACATCACGTACTGTGAAAACAAAGGCAAAGAAAGACGGGACCCACCGTGCAGCCTGGGCTACAGTGCAGAATGAACTGCTGATGGACGGCTGTGGGCCTGACCCGGCCACAGCCAGGGCCCGCAGGGCTGCTCTCTCCCTCGCCTCAGACCCGCAGCCACGCTGCCCAGCTTGGCGCTGGACCCACTCCTGCTCATTCCCTCCTCCACAGAGAGTTCTCTCGACTCACGCCCTCACTGTTTGTTCACACTTTGGTTCAAATACAGCTTTCTAGCAAGGCCTTTGCTGACCACCATATGCCACGCTCAGCAATCCTGATACCCTCACTCATTTCATTAGATGATGATGATGGTGGTGATGATGATGGTGATGATGATGATGATGGTGATGATGTCGGTACAGGGGTGTGAATTGAAGGCCTCCAGCTTGCTAGGCAGATGCTCTACCACTTGAGTTCCTCACTCCCCACCTCAGTTGTTCTGAGTTTCGTTTGCTTTTCAGAGTCTCTTGCTACCTAGTCAGCCTCAAGCCGTGACCCTCCTGCCTTTGGCTGTGGAGCAGTTTTGGAATTGCAGGCACGTACCGCTCTGTCACTCGGCTGTGTCCCAATGTCGTGCATTACCTCCCAACTGTACCGTGTGCTTTTGCATTTGAGGCTGTCTCCAGTTGCATTTTTTTCTCTCACGAGAATGTAAGCTCTCTGGAGGACCATTCCCCTCAGAACAGCGTTCAACAGTGTGCCGAAGAGCAGTGAGATTATTACAATAGTGCGCAGCCCAGATCTTCATATGTGTAAAAAATTACATTAAGATTCAGCTTGGAAAATATCCCATCTCTCCATCTTGGCAGGATAAAATCGGTTTGGGGGGAAATTTTTGTTGTTTGCTTGGTTAGTTTTGGGTGTTTGTTTGGTTAATTTGATTTCCCAGCCACTCCCTATAATCAGATGTTGGTGAGCTTTTTCTCAGTGTAGCCTACAAGTGGCTCTCTTTTTATTATTTCTATCCTGATGCCAGAAAAACTCTCAGCACTGACCTGTTCTTACACAGGGAAGGAACAGATAAATATTGAGCAGTTTCTATAAATGGTCTTATTCTTATTTGTTGTTGCTTGTTGTTGTTGTTGTTGTTTTGGTGCTTGAAATCAGGGCCTAGGCACTGTCCCTGAGCCTCTTTTGCTCAAGGCTAGCACTTTTATTGCTTGAACCAGAACTCTACTTCTGGCTTTTTGGGGGCAGTTAGTTGGAGATAAGAGTCTCACAGACTGGCCTGCCCTGGCTGGCTTCAATCCATGAGCCTCAGATCTCCACCTTCTGAGTCAGAAGTAGGATTACAGGCGTGAGCCACTGAGGCCCAACTCATTAAGTCTTGTTCTTATCTTTGCCGTGCATATTTGGCAGAGTCTCTGCGAATGGAATTGGTAGCATCTGTGCCCAGCTGCTACCTCCCAGGCCTTATCTGCACTCTTGTTACCACACCGGTTCTGCCTACGGATGGGTTTACCATAAGTCCTACTACTTTTGCCATGAAAGATGCCACGCGTCACCTCTGAAGTCATCAAGGCAGAGTGGACAACTCCTGATCTACCACTTCTTCTCCAGGGTGACCCCAGATTCTGCCAGGAGTCTTGGACAGACACCCAGTAGAACTCTTCTTTGGACTCTGCTGCCTTCTTTTCCCTGCCCCTTTCTGGACCAGGGAGTGCTGAGGTCTGCCTTCACAGAGGTGCGGCCGCAGCTCTCTCTCCACCCTCCTTGGCATTTTTCTCTAGGCAAGCTGCCTTCAGGCCCAGCCTCGGTTCTCTGAAGTGACACTGCAAACTGTTGCTGATATGCAGGGTATGGAATAGGCCGTCCAAGTGTGTCCCGACCGTGGTGCGCATGTCAGAGTTACCAGCTGACCAAAACTTGTCCTTGACTTCTCTTCTTCCCATTCCCCACCCCTACCCCACCCCCAGTCTCCCCACAGTGAGCAGGGTGTATGAGGGCTTCCACCCTCCTGGGAGGGAATCTGCGCAGACGGGAGCTGAGCTGTTGCTAACGGCCGCTCCTGCCCTTTGAAATCACCTAGCGTGCTTTGTAGACTTTCTAGATGTTTTCCACCCTCCACGCTCCAGCGGCCAATCCCAGCACAATGAGCGGGACTAGGTGTCCAAGTTCAAGAACTTCCCTGATTACATTGTTCTTCTGTTTATCGGGACCACAAAGCTATTTGGGGGGGCCTCGTACACAAAACACAGCCACGTATCAACAATTACGTGATTATTCCACACCCACACCCACACCCCTCTGGCTTGCCTCCTCTGGCCTGGCTACTAAGAGAAGACACACAGAGAGACACAAATATGCACCTGCTCCGCACACACTCACACTTTTCTTCAGTGCAAATGAGAGTTAAGGAGGTAGCAGCTGCACCATAATCCTGGACCATGAAAATACCCTCCATAGTTGATACTGGACCAGGTCTTTTATTCACTCCTTCCTTATATTTAATCTAGTGTTTTCTTGTTTTCCTTAAATGATGTTCTCTCCCTCCCTCCCCCTCCCTCCCTTCCTTCCTTCCTTCCTTCTTTTCCTTCCTTCTCTTTCTCTTTCTCTTTAATGGAACTCAGACCCTCACACATTCTAGGCAAATGCTCTGGTTTTAGATACTTTAGAACTTAGACCAATGAAAGTAAGGATTTTATTTCCGACACTGTTTAGCATCAAGGATTGACCCCGGCCTGTTATCCCAGGTGCATGCAGACACCGGGCAGGACCCCGGTATGCATGGACGTGCGATCTGACCTCAGCCTGGCTGTCAGCATTCACTGTGGTCTAGCCTATGAGGCTCTGTGGCTGAGCTGTGAGGACACGG